GCCCCAAACTCGCTCTCCATTCCTTTGAAGGGGTCAGGCCTAGGTCTGGTGATGGGTGTCTTTGCCTTGTTTAAAATGAAGGCTGTGGTTTTCTTCTCTTCCAGAGTCTCCCAGGGCTCTGTTCCTCTCCTCCGGCTCCGTCATGTCGTGCCTCACGCAGCTGTGGCATTCCACCACGCCAGACTCTCCCACCAGCCCAGTCCCTGCCTCTCCCAGTGAGATCCCCATCCCCATCAGCCCCATCGTAGTCACCTCCCCAGGGGATGGCAAGAGGAAGGCGAGGTCCCCCACCGACAAGCCAGGCTCTCCAAACCCAACATCTCCAAAGCCAACCTCCCCCGTGGAGTGTTCCATCTGCTTCAACACCTACGACAACACCTTCAAGACACCCAAGCTGCTCCAGTGCTCCCACGTTTTCTGCCTGGAGTGCGTGGCTCGCCTGAGCACGGGGCTACCCCCAAACCAACCCGAGGACCAGCTCCCCTGCCCCTTCTGCAGGCAGCTGACCAGCATCCCTCTGGAAGGCGCCCCAGCTCTCAAGACCAGCAAGGAGCTCCTCGCCACGCTGCCTCCCGAGCTCCAGCAGGAGAAGGTGCTCTGGATGGAAGGCACCAAGCTCTGCTGCCGCCGGGCCTCCGACGACGCCGAGAACCCAGACTCCTGCATCTCCATCGACGTGGCCATGAGCAAGCCCGAGAGCCCCGAGGCCGCCCCGGAGGGGCTGAGGGGGAGGTTGTCCCGCTGCGACGTCTGCGACGACTGGAAGCGCATCGTCCTCCTCTCAGCCCTCATCATCATCCTCTTCTGCATCATCCTCTGGCCCGTCCAGTGCGCCCTGAAGACGGGCAACCTGCGCTGCTTCACCAGGACCGTGGCCATGAGCAGGCCAGAGTATCTTCCTCCCAAGCACACCACGGTGGCCCCACCGGTGACACAATCCCCTTTCCAGTAGCGGCGCCCAGGGCAGGGTGGGGATGGGGAGGCAGGAGCAGGGGTTGATGCCCTGGGGGCACTCCATGGTTTGCTGCCAGAGCTGGTGGCCCCACGCTCCTCCCGTGCCTCCACCTCTCTGAAATACTTGCCTGTCAAGATGTCTCCTGCCCAGGAATGCTCCCAGGAGCTGCCTCAGGATCCCGCTGCCAAACTCTCTGGGGAAATTGGAGCTCTGAAAGCAACACAGAGGTTCCTAGGACTTTGCCTGGAGCAGCACATGGCCCTGGGCTGGTTGGCTGGATACCAGAGGATAGTGGGGGCAGTTCCTCTCCATCCCTTAGGGAATAAAGGGCTATTTTTGCAAACTGAAGGATCTACATGATTATTCTTAAGAGGAGCTGGGATGGGGAGGGTAAAGACATGTCCAAGTCATATATGTGGATGGAAATGATGGAAATGATCCTTATGGCACGTGCTTGATAAGGTTCCTTGGCGACTGAATGTTGGAGGAGCCACTGCTGCCTCCTGCTGCCAACACATGGACCTGTCCCTGCTACTCACCACCCTCGCCCTGCTCCCTCCCGAGGGGTTTTTGAACAGAACAGAGCAGCCACTCGACCTGCTTCTCCTCAGAAGATGCTTAAAAATCCCTCCTCCTGCCCGGAGAGTGGCTCTGAGCACGAGGTGAGTTCTGTTAGACACTGACACAGCACCACAACCCAGTTGCCTCACCAGCAACCTCCACTCCTACTTCCCTCTTGCCAGCAGGAGAGAAGTTCCATCGTTTGACAGCTGTACCCTCCTCATCTCAAAAGGTGTCAGTATTAAGACACAGGCCAGTTGCTTACCCTACATTTTTAATGAATTCAGTGATCTTCTGCCAGTGATTAACAGACGTCTTTGTGATGAAGGCTGCTCACAATTAAATGTTTTCTATTCCCACACATGGATGTAAGAAATTGTTGTTCCCAAGGACCATACGTGTATGTATTAAATTATGTTTTCTACAACATGAGGTGTCAATCTGTAGCAATCACTCCACATTTCCCTTCTTACTTGCAGCTGGAGGTGGTCACCCAGCAGCCCTGAGTCCAGCTGCATCCCCAGACCATGGCAGATGGTCCATCCCTCAGCTGTCCCTGTGGAGCACAACCCTACACACGTGGCCAGCTTTATTCTGCAAATTCATCCTTACTACCACCAAGGTGGTGCTGCCCCAGGTGTGACTTCACCTCACTTGACCTGAAAAATGAGAAGCTGCAAAATCTTCTCATCTTTTTCTTCTTCCCAGCAAGCTGGAAGATGCTTCCAGTCTCCCTTTGCAGAAAATCTGATTTGGAATAGAAAAGGCTGAAGCAAGATCAGAGTAGCTCAGGTCTGTTGCTATGTAAAATTTCCATGGAAAGCTGCTGCCTGTGCTGCATCTGCACCACCTTTGGTGCTCAGCATCTGCACCACCTTTGGTGCTCAGCATCTGCACCACCTTTGGTGCTCAGCTGCAGGCTGGCAAGGGCTGTGCCAGCCACCAGGCTGCAGAAACTCCTCCAGGCACTGCAGCACCTCCTGCCAAAGTCCCTGGGCTCGACAGGGATTCTCATTTCATCCCCTCCATTCCCCCATGGAAAGTGAATCTTCACAGCACCAATTTAAGTGTGTTCTAGGAAAAAGTGACTCACCAGGACTTAACACAGAGAAGGCACTTCCATTTTACTCAAGGTGCTGTTGGGACTAAGCCCAACAACTAGGCACTGGTGGAGATGAAGTGCTTTGTCTTTACATCTTCGTCCCCATCCAGCTCCCATTGATGAGATCTAACAGCAGGGGGGAGGGAAATCACATCTTCAGCCTCAGAAAATCTATTGTTACTGTGGCAAACAAGCCCCAGAAACTGTTCTCACAGTTCCAACTGTTCCTAGGAGCCTGTCACAGCATCCTCGTGAGGGGCTGTCCCTTTGCACCTCCCCTGCTCACCAGGACTTGGAAACAAAGGCTGGAGGTTCAGCTGACACCCAGCTGAACCTCTCAGCCCTGCTTAGTCAAAAGGAAGATTCAAAGCAAGTGAAAACAGGGCCCTGACCAGCAGCATTTGGTGAGAGGAGACATTCAGGCTGCCCCATTGTCCACACCAACTGTCAGTCCCTTTCCCCAAAAGGAAGGAGAAAAAAAATAAGCCTTGAGAATATTCAACATTTATTAAAAGTGCAATAAAAATAAACAGTTCTCCTGCCCCTGTGACAAGGGACCAGAGAGACCAGCCAGGAAATACAGCCAAGGTATGTCATTGTGCTTTTGTTCAGCTCCCTCTGCTCAGCACACTTGGAGCTGGCACTCCAGGCACTCGTAGCCCAACCACACAGCAAGTCCAGCCAGCTCCACAGCCCTCAGAGGACATCCCCATCAGCCCTAGGTGTGCTCTGGAGGTTCAGGCACTGGCACGGAGCCCCAAGGCTCCCCACAGAGCCCACCTTCCCTGATGAAGGGGTTCTTTGGCAGGACTCTTTGCAGGTCTTAGGGCTGGAAGAGCACGAAGCACCATCAGTCACAAGTCAAGGCTTATCAACAGAGCTGGAATACTCCACTCAGGGACACCTCACAGCACTGGTCAAGTCACAAACACTCCTACAACACCCCTACCCAGCAGACACAACGCTTGCCTTGTCATAGAGTTGCAGGGGAGGGAAAGAAGAGGTCCTGCAGCAAGGCAGTGGCAGAGCTGCATGAAGCTTAGAGGGGCTCAGCTCAAAAAATTCAGCTCAGCTCAGTATCCTGGGCTGTTACCAGGGGTAGCTAAAGGCACAGCATGCAGCCAAAGCTGCTTTCCTACTCTTCAGCACCCATCAAGCTAGTTGGGATTTCATTTAGCAGCTCAACATTCAGACCCACGTGGCCAAAGATGGAGATGCTCAGCTCTGACCCCCAGTTCTGCTGTGAAACCCTTGGGGGGCAGAGCAGCCAGCAGGTTCTGGGGCACAGACACCCCTCTGCTGGACCACAGCAGCTTCAGGCATTGCTCCGTGGGCTCTGGCAGGGCTGCAGAGAAATCCAGAAGTGGGACAGCCCAAAGGGAGAGTGAGAAGAATCAACAGAGGTGCAAATACCTGGGGGTCCAGGCAGGGCTCTCCAATTCTCACCTCACTCCAGGATATAGTCTAAAACACTTTTTGGCTTAGAAATGATTGACCTAATGAAAATATTAAGGTGTACTAACATTTTACTAACACCCTGAGTGGGCAACCCTGGGAAAGCTCCTAAGCAAAAAGTCATTTCCATTCCTTTGAACAATTGGTGTGTAAAAAATAAGAATCTTAAATTAAAAAAAAAAAAACACAAAACCAAAACAGAAAACAAAATCTGAGCCTTGATGCCCTAATCAATGTCCAGAGGCACTTCCAGATAAATTATCAGCCTAGGGAGAATGGGAGAAGATCCTTCTCATGAATAAGTTAGGTCAAGGCATGTTCTTAGGTGCAGACTCTGCTTGCTTCTGAGTCAGCTTCTGGCTTCCTCGCCGAGTCCAGGGTGCTTGGGGAAGGCAAGATGGGCAAAAAACAACTGTCCACAGCTGCAGAGCTTGGAAAGGGTGGACGTAAACACTGGAAATCCTGCATGCCAAAAGAAGAAGGAGGGAGGCATGGTTTATAACTGAGAGAACAGCACACTGAGGCATTGCCAGGGGGTGAAGTGTCTCCTACACAGCCTCGTCCTCCGGGTCCGACAGCATCCTGACACAACAGCCCAAAAAAACACATCTCCCCCCCCTCCATGGGGACACCCTAAACGTTTCCCTGCTCAGATCTCATTCCCCCACATCCCCATCACTTCTCCCACCAGCAGCTGGCCCTGGCCTCAGCCTCAGGCTCTGTCAGATGTCATCAGAGCACGGCTGCCTTCCCTGATGCAGGCAGAGCCTCCAAAACCTGCAGGAGCTCAGCTGAAGTTGGGTCACCTGCAGGAGCTGAGCTGAAGTTGGGTCACCTGCAGCGTGGACAGGCTGTGGTGACACTCTGGTGACAGCCAGGGAAGCATTCCTACCTGCAGAGCCTCCACACAGCTCCCCTCTGGCTCCTTTACCGTCCTGTGTTACTCATCCCTGAGACCTTTGGGCTTTTGATGTTCAGGTTCTCGTAGACAGAAGCTGATTCATCATCAACCCTGTCAGGAAACAAAGCCTGGTTATTAACAGCCTCACTGCTCTGGAGCTTTTCCCAGAGGCAAGTGGCCAGGAGGAAGCAGGTAAGGACCCAGCCAAGCTCCCTCTTCCCCTCTGCAGCCCTGTGGATAGCATGGCACTGGGTTACCCACTGTTCTCCATCCCTCTCTTCTCTCCCTCTGGCTGGACCACCCCTCTCTTAAAGGTCTTTCCAAATTAAATAATTCTATGAAATACAGCTTGGGGATGGAGCCTTGAACCTTCCTCACACATCAGCCTCTCATGGATGCCAACCTTCTGCAGGATCAGTGGATTCCATTCTTGGTATTTCCTGCTCTTGCCTTCTCTACATACCAAATTTCTCTGGATTTTCCAAAATCTAATGGAAGGAGAGGGCTGCTCCAAGAGCCATATCCAAGTACCTCAGAAGCAGGTTTGAGACCCAGAGCTGAACTCACAGGAGCTCTCTGGAGCTGACAGTACCAGCCACACAGAGCTCAGCTCAGACCCACCCAGTCCTCCCCGTTCTCATTTATTCAGAGCTGCCATTTCACAGCTGGGCATTTTAAACAGGACACAAACATTTCTGCCATCTCTTCTTTCAAAGCCAATCCTGGAACTCAAGGTGCCCAAAAGCTCTGATATAAATAATCAATGACCCTACCCACTCACCTTCACCTTAGAACCTCCTCTCTATCACTCACTGCTATCCCCTTACTTGGAACAAGAGGGAAGAGCATAATTTGGGCTATTTTATCTCTGCTTATGCAAGGAACTCGTGCTACTTAGCACATGCTCACTTCTCCACATGGGTGCAAACCCATCTCCCTTTGCTCTCTTCTCTGAGGGATTCAGATTTTGCAGTAGAAGCCCCTGAGTGCCAGTGGCACAGTTTCACTCTCTAGCTGATTCTCCAGAGATATTCTCCAGAACCCAAGATATGGGGCAGTACTTGCTGCAGGCTAGGATCTATCTCCTCCTCTCTTTTCCAAAAGCTTAGCACACCAGCAAGGTGAACTGCTCCCCCCACTGCTGATGGTGCTCTGGGATTATTCATCACTGAGTTTATTATCTGTATTTATTTGGAGCCATTCCCATAGGATAGCCAGCAACTGGTCAGGGTTCAGGTATGGGAGAGGCAGGCTGGCAAAGGATAAAGACTGGGGCTTTCAAGCTGTTCTCTCTAGTGCTGCAGAATGTCTAAGGCCTGGCAGAGAGCAGCTTACACAGAGGGGGTCCGTGGTGAAGGGGGCTGCCCTTTGCCTCTGCCTTTTTCCATAGGAGAGTAGCCAATATTCAAGTAGTCTCTCTCTTTCCTTTTATTCCTCTGAAAGAGAAAGCAAAGACAATAAAATCCCACTCAGGTACAGAAGAAAGCCTCCAAGCCCCACGTGCCAGCACAGGAGCAGTGACTGTGGGTTTATTTCCACACCTTTAGGGCAGTATTTGACTTCCAGGGAGCGGGTGGGAGTGGAAGTGGTGCTTGGGATGGGCCAAATTCTGCCCCTGCTTTTCCAAGCAAGCCAAACAGGACTCACCTGCTCTTCTTCCAGCCTCTTCTGCTCAGCCTCAATGTACTGCTGGACAGCCATGTAAACAAACTTGTACTGTGCCTCTGTCTGCACCATGCCCGAGCGCTGCCTGCGGACCATCTGGATGGTTTTGGGGATGTCAATGTCACAGTCCAAACCTGCTCAGGAGGGAGGAGGTCAGCTTGAGGAGGGGGGAATTTATCCTGAAAAATTGATTTCTTAAAACAGCTTGGAAAGGCTTCAATATCTCCCTGCACACAGGGTCAGCAGAGCCCCCAGGATGCTGTGAAAGGGTTTGGTGCATCTCTGTGCTTAGGATGTTGGGGTTTATTTTTATTGGTGTTCTTTTATGCCTCTCAGAGCACCTTGAACTGAGAATTGCTGAGGCAGGGCTGAGTTGCTTGGAGCAAGGGGAGGGGAGAGGAATTAGGTCTGTTCTGCAGCAGCTTCCTACAGATCCAGACTTAGCATCCTTGGTGGTTTATGAATAGATACAGCCATAGAGTCCACCTGCCTCAGGGCTCCTGCAGACCCAGAGATACCACAGAGTTCCATAACAGCTCTGGAATTTCAGGTGAAGGTGACAGGCCTTCTATGCAGAAGAATTTGCAGGACTTATTTCTAAAAGGCTTACTGGAGTTACACCTTTACTAAGCCTATTTTCCCCAACAGCTCTGGAATTTCAGGTGAAGGTGGCAGGCCTTCTATGCAGAAGAATTTGGAGGACTTATTTCTAAAAGGGTTACTGGAGTTACACCTTTACTGAGCCTATTTTCCCTCACCCTCAATAACAGAGGGTTGTCCAGGAGATCTTGAAATCCTCATCCCACTGATGCTAAGGAGAAGACTGCCCTGTGCTGTGTGGCTGAAAGCATCTCCCTCACTAGAGGGCTGTCCACAAGCCTTTCTCCCTCTGCTTTCAGGCTAAAGCTATGCCTGCAGTTTCCCAGACAAGTCAGACCCACAATATTGACCCACTGCTTGGAGATCATGTACCCACTGCTTGGAAATCACATACCCACTGCTTGCACAAGAGCAGGGTTACCCCAGCACTGCTCAGAGCAAGGCAAACAGTGAAAGCCACAGGACAGACAGGGAGACATACCTTGCCTGTGAATAATATCCACCAGAATATCTATCACAATGATGGTGCCTGTGCGTCCTATTCCAGCACTGGGAAGAGAAAAGGAAGAAACATTCCTTGGAGTTTGTCAGCTCAACTCAGCTCCCACATTTGCCTGCATGCCTGATCCACCCTGGGCAGATTTGGGATGGCTGCTGGAAGATAAGGACCCCTAGGAGATCAGAGTCCAGCAGGCTGCATCAGAGCTACCAGCTCCAGAACAGACCTGTTCTCCCCTGTACAATCACCAGTGAGGCTCTAGAGACAACAACACACTGTGTAAATTCACACCCCAGTTGCCCACCAGCAGCTCACGTGGAACCAGAAACAAGAGGCCCCTTTTTATTGCCCCCCAGGTTTGTACCTGCAGTGCACTATGATGGGCCCCGTGTCTGGAATGCTGCGCTGGGCTCGGTTCACTTGGTCCAGAAAGCTCAGAACCCCTCCTGGCTCATTGGGCACCCCGTGGTCTGGCCAGCTAAAATACTGATAGTGCTTCACCCGCCTCGGGCACTCATCCTGAAAGGAGCAGAGACCCACCACCCAGTCAGGAAATCCTACCATGAAGCTTCTCCTTCCTTATTTTTTTAATCAAAGCTGGGGCAAAGTGGTCATTAAATAAAAAATTAAAAATAAAACCCCACATGGCAAAGGCACAGATCCCTCCATGGGAGTTCCCAGCACCGTGGGACTCATAGAATCATAGAATCCTTTAGGTTGGAAGGGACCTCCAAGATCATCAAGTCCAACCATTGAGCCATTAGGGCTCTGCTAAAACAGATCAGAATCTGTCAGGGTTGGAAGGGACCACAAGGATCCCCCAGTT